TGCCTGATTGGAGTGGTCGAAGGAAACCCTTTGTCCAGGGGTGGACAGACACACACACACTAGGTTCTGTTCACTGCACCAAGGGGCGCATAGTAAACAGTAGAATGCCACCTGAAAGGTGTGCATCTGTGGAGTTGCCCTGGTTCTGGTGCCGGCTGACCAAATCCTCTGCAAACCTCAGATCTGGCTCCAACACAAAATCTGATACTTCCTCTGGTTGGGGTGGTGGAGGGTTGAACGCCCCAAAAAGCTTTCTTCTGGTTCCATCATGTGCCATGCCTGGTGCTCACCCATCTGGACCGTAGAAGAAAAGCTCACATGGACTGAAACCTAGAGTTCCCAAGGTGGTTGTTGGAGGGTCGGGTGCTCGACTGACGATAGGTCAACAAGTCCGGGACACCAGCCTTCCGAGGACACAAAGCCATGTGAGGCATTCAGCATGAAATCCATCTCCATCGTCAGGTTGAAGCGATTCAGGACCTTGCGAGGCGGTCAGTCCGGTATGATCACCAGGCGCGCGGTCTGCGAGGCGGGACGATTTGGGAATGTTGGCACCTTATAGGCATGCCATGATCATATCATATCCAAACTGGTGGGTTTAGAAAGAGATCCAAAAACAAGGGCAAAGGGTTCATATATATATATATATACCGGCGGTATAATGTTATATCACCTCTTTGTTGCGATAGTGGAGACACCTTCCAAATACTCAAAGACCCTTGCTTTATAGGGACTGGTGTCGGGATAACATAATTGAAGAAGAGTCGCCTCAGCGACTGGTGGGTGGTTGCTCGCTGACGTTGATAGGCTATCGGCTATTATTTGCCAATGTTGAGTTACTCGTGCTTTTGTTCCTCTTGTTGTCGTTGTTGTTGCGGCTCGTTGCCAACTATCAGTTAGTTGTCGGCTGTCCACGGTAAGTGTTTCTTGCCCTCGCTGCTGCTAATGCTGATGCTCTCTGGTTGTTGATGCCATGTATATACCAGGGTGTGGACCACAGCAAACGGTATTTTTTGATCTTTTTGGAGACGCCATGAAACCAAACGTCAGGAAACAGCAGGCGCCATCCACTTCCCTGTTGGTTCTTCTCACTGCTTCACGAGGCTTCTTTCCCCAAACCACTTTGACCGAGCTGGTCCACCTCCTCCGCGGACAAGAAGGGGTTCTCGTAGGCCACGCGCACCGAGCTCCTCACCAGCGTCAGGCACGCGGGCGACGCTTGGAAGAGCCGCAGGCCGATGTCCGCAAAGGGCGGATGGACCCGGAGGCGCTGCGCATGGGACTCGCCCGCGCCCACGGACACCTCAAACACAGCGGGCAGAGGGCAGGAGGATCATGAACACCAATTGAAAGATCATGAAAGACATGTACAGTAGTAGCTTTGTTGAACATCTAAAGAATCTAAAGACATCTACAGTAGTTAAAGACACTCACCTGGCAGGAGAACAAGTTGAGGAAAGAAAGACCAAAAGACCAAACCCCTCCCGCCTGTGTGTCAGTAATGAACATGGCATAGTGCTGGGTCTCTGGGCCTGACATGCAGATGAACAAAAGAGCTCCAACGGTAGACGGGAGACTGACTGAATTTGTGGAACAAACACGTTCCAACTTTGAGATCTTTAGCTGTCTCTCGGGTGACAACACTGACTGGGTTTAAAATGAATCCCCATCCAAGCTGCGATGAACACTCTGTCCATTCATAGCTTGGGCACCACCGCACTTCGCAATTGAAACCACCAACTCCTTCTGTCATTGGAACAACACCGACGGCGAGCATCATCCTTGGCACTACATGGCGCAACCAGCTGACTGTGGAAATTGGGGTTCCCGGCTGACTAAGAGCTTTGCAACTTCATCCCCGAGCCCGGGGAAGGGCAGCGTGGCGGTGCTCAGCAGGGCTGCTGGCACTCCTCCTCGGCGGTGCGATGCTTCTTACTGCACTGGTATTGTTTGATGAGAAAGCATGGTAAATGTCAGTGGTCCAATGGTCCCCAAAAATTGTCCCTAACACCACTACCACGTACCGTATACCAGCTTTACCGTATCAACCAGAAATTGTACATGTTTTTAAATGTACATTATTGATTTTGGTGTACCAATGTTTATCTTGAGCAATGGCATGTAATACATGCAATAGCAAAAATGGTGAACGCGATATCCCTTATGGTGCCGCCTCGGTGGAAGAAGACCTTCCCATTGTGCATATACACCAATTGATCACTTGATATCATATGCAATAATTGGAAAATAGCATGAGCATGTTTGTTTTTTTCTTGAGCATGTATTGACCCGGAGAAATAACTTTTCAGACCCGGAGAAAATAGGGACCCGGACTAGATGCGGAAAAACCGGACTCTGAGCGAAAAAACGGATTCTGAGCGGATATCAGGAGCGTGTAATGGTGTTACTTGAGCATCTATTGGGCATTTCGATGATTTATTACATGTTATGGCCATTGGGCCCATATGGAGACTCTACAGTACCGAGCCGTGCCTGCTGATGATGAATACTACTTTTCAACCCGGAAATATTCGAGTTGAGCATGTATTTAGTAACTTGAGGCCAAGGGGGGGGGCGAAAGCTAGCGCTCCAGAATGGGAAAGTGGAGGGCAGCGAGGTAGGAAAAAACATGGCGCTCTTTTTGGAGGCAGTCAAGGAGACGTCGCGGTGGCATCGCAAAGATCCACCTGCAGAGCGGACTGTCGGAAGTCTGCGGGGAGGGTTGTCAGAGGCTGCAGAGCGAGTGCGGCCGCAAGATACGCAACGCTAACCGCATGCCAAAGAGCGACGACAGGACGGAGTCGAACTTGCGAAGAGGGAGGAGGGAGGGAGGGAGGGAAGGTGGGAGGAAAACAAGGAGGGGGAGAGGGGAGGCAGAAGGCAGGACGCCTTGCACAAGTTCGGCGGGGCAAACGATTCCAGGTGAAGAGTCCTTTATATGTGGCTCTTTGCCCGGATCCTGTTGAGAGAGAAGAGAGAAGAGAGACGGAAAGACGAGAGACAGAGAGACAGAGAGGAGAGAGAGAGAGAGAGAGGAGAGAGAGATGAGAGAGATGAGAGAGAGAGAGAGAGAGACAGTGAGAGTGAGAGTGAGAGTGAGACTGAGACTGAGAGTGAGCGAGTGCGTCCGCAAGATACGCAACGCTAACCGCATGCCAAAGAGCGACGACAGGACGGAGTCGAACTTGCGAAGAGGGACGAGGGAGGGAGGGAGGGAGGGGGGGGAAGGTGGGAGGAAGACAAGGAGGGGGAGAGGGGAGGCAAAAGGCAGGACGCCTTGCACAAGTTCGGCGGGGCAAGCGATTCCAGGTGAAGAGTCCTTTATATGGCTCTTTGCCCGGATCCTGCTGAGAGAGAAGAGAGAGAAGAGAGACGGAAAGACGAGAGACAGAGAGGAGAGAGAGAGAGAGAGGAGAGAGAGATGAGAGAGATGAGAGAGAGAGAGAGAGACAGTGAGAGTGAGAGTGAGAGTGA